TAGGTCTTGAATCCTTCTCGGCTCCACAAGTTCCTGGTCTGCTCCCCCGTTGCCTGGCCAAATGTTTTGTCTTTTGCCAGTTAAGCGTGTCGATTTTTTAATTAGTCGCATCCTCGTCCAAGTGATTTATGGTCCAGCCGAGGCCAAGCTGGCCCAAACGAAGAATCCGAAAGGAAGGCTCTGGCGCTGCAGCCAGAGTCTGCACTTTGAAGTATTGGCTAAGCTAATAGGCGCTAAGGAGAAACCTCTGGCGGAGATTCTGATGGCGATCCCGATGGAAATGACGGCGGTGCCGTAGGTGCTGCTGGCGGGTTATGAGAGAATGCGATGATGTCGCTTATGGAATTTCAGCATAACTGCCACAAGCTCTGTTGATACAGTCAACGCTCTTTTATGGCCCAAAGGCAAAAGCCATCAGCTAAATGGCCAAAAGCCAACTGCGAGTAAGTGCAGGTCCGGGTAATGAGCTGACATTGAACATGTTAGGCATGTTAGAATTTTCCGTTTGATGGCAGCTCAGAAATAAGCCATATCTTGTACGATTTATGCCCCAAGTTACAGGGGTCAACTATGCGTGAGTCGCCAATTAAAACAAAAATGGGTACACTTTTAAAAAATAATATACTATATTAATACCTGGCCATAATAGGTAATATACAAAAGTTCACAAGTTTATGTTATCTTTTTCAGAATAACTTCACTTCATACATTTTTAAATGTTAAAAGAAAGTAATTTGTTCAAGTGTTTAATACTAAAAGTCATGTGAACCACGAGTTAGATAAAGAAATGACCCCCAGCTTAGTGAGGCCGAAAAACAATGTTCTAATTAAGGCAAACAAAATTCTGGTCATTCCTAAACAGACTCAGCTGGAGTTCAGCCAGTGGATCATGTTTGGAAAATAAAACTCCTCGGCATGGCACCCAACTCACAACTCAAAACCAGCCACAAGAATCCGCAAATCAGAGCTCTAACCATATTTGCCAAACTTAACGATTGCATCAACATTTTTGCGCTCACTCCGCTTGCTTGTTACACTTTTCGTTACAGAAGCTCTTATGACAATGTCTTGTTTTTTCGAAATGCTTTAAATACACTCACGCAGCCCGGCCAGCGATTTTAATGCAGTGGAAAGCGTTTGATGGAATTTCTGCCGGCGGTATTCGAACACAAACATGCCACTCGAATGGCCAAACACCTTTGCGACCGAAAAGTTAACACATCGTAAACAATCTGCCGTGAAACTAGACGGAACATAAATCAAGCCACAACCGATGACCCCAAGACAAGACCTTTACTCTCACTTTTCTCCCTCCCCATCGCTGATCTTGGCCATCTCCCCGATTTCCATCCCAGCGCAAGAAGGCGGAGACAAGAAGCGCGGGCGTATCTAAACATGTTCGGCATTAATATGCAAATCAATGGAGCAGTCATAAAACGAAATGGAAAACACACAAAAACATCTTCGATATGTGTCACTGTGTCAATGTGCGTGAGTGTGTCCGGCGACTGTGCAACAAACGACAAACAAAATGGTATAGAGCCAGTTCCGGGTTTCAAGAAGCCAACTAGAGAGGAGTGCATTTATATTAGAGTTTACTAAAAGAAGCTTAGGTTTACTACTTTTCTTTTAGAACTTTGCAATTAAAGTTCGTTTCCTAAGTGTTTTGTTTTTTTTCTCCCGAAAAATTCTAAATTAAATTATGATGTCGAGTTCGATTCTTAAGTCTTTTGTTTTCATCATAGATTTTGTTCCTGATCACGATGTCATCGCTAAACACGCAGACCTGGACCTGGCAGCATCAAAAACCCTAAACGAACAGCCAACCGATCCATACCGAACTGCCCCATCAGCTACAACATCTTAAGCTCATTTGTCACATAAAAATCATATATGTAATTTGCTTGACAACCAAAAGTGGACACTGAAACGTCACGCGCCGGTGCAGCAAACGCCTCCATATTGGTGTGGGCTTTTGGCCAAGAGAAAGAAAGAGCTGGGATCGGGAAGGAGCTCCAGGGGTGTCCAGTGAAGAGTCCGTGGTGATGATGGCATCCAGAGTTGCTGCTTCAATCTCGGCGGTGCATGCGTTTTGGTGTCGCGTTGAGTGAGCGTTTCCTTAAATTAGCTGCACTTTGGATGCACCATTATGCCGCTCGCCCAGGCACTTGATGCGGTGTCGCTGTCGTTGTTGCCGTTGTTGTTGCCTTCATCTTCGTCATGACCATCATCGTGGCCATTTTTGGGTGGGCATTAAGTGCCGGGCTCTCTGATGGAGTGTTGATGCCAGCCGAGGTCAGTTGGTAAGAAATTTATGGCCAGAGCGATGTTTGCATGATGCATGATGCTCATATCCATTGCTCCAGCATTCAGGTGGGCGCAATTGAGTTGGATCATAAAATGCCACAAAAGAGAAATTACAAGAGCCGTGTCATAACTACATGGCTTTCTGACAAGATCCACCTAAGCCGTTGATTGAATAAGAATTTCCTCTTTTTTTGTTGTTAGAAAGGTAAACAAATTAATCAACATGAAGATTTATTAGTTTCAGAAAAAGAGGGGAAGATAAAAATGAGCTCGTAGGTTGTAATGTACACCATAATTATTTTAGCAAGTTTGGTAATAAAAAAAGAAGTATTTTTAGTGACTATGAGTAATACTTTCCAAAATACTTTAAAGACTTTAAATTCCAAGATTCGTTTATGCTTTCGACATGCGCCATAATAAAGATTCACAATCAATTATCCAACAATTCCTAAGACTCATCTTGAAGCACTTCCAACTTCCTTGTTGCAACTTGTTGCAAGAAAAGAAAAGCCAACTCTTACTCTCTCGCATCCGGTTCTCAGCGAGGGGAATATCTTCGGTAGAACCGTTTAAGCAATCCATTTAGCCAACGAGACACTTCAAAGCGAAGCTGCTGAACGTCTAGTATCTGCGCCAAATGGAAAAGCCCTCAACAGCTTAGGCAAACATTTGCAATTACAATTTTAGCATATAATTGCAAACATGATAAACACTTTTATCTTTTGCTGCTGCTGCTGCTGCAGATGCTGTTCACTCTTTGCAGAAATCCAATGCTAGTCCGGGTCTGAACTTGGCCAGGACCAGTCTGGTCACAATTCACGCAGCATCAACCACTAGAGGGGCAGCAGCAGGTTCCTTGGACCTGAAGCTGAGACTAAGGCTGAGGCAGCCTCGAAGAAGCGTGTCGCCAATTGTTCGTGAGGTTTACCTAGAAATATGTCGCGACAATTGTGCCTGCAAAAAGGAAAACTAAGCAACAAGAAAAAAAATAAGACACACCGACGTCAGAAGCCAATTAGAGATGAGTACTTGGCTGGTCTGTGAAAGCTCGAATATAAATATTTTTAGAATGTCTGGGAATAGATTGACTTTCTTGATAGGTCCTCCAAGCCAAAAATAGTTTTATTATTTTTAACAAAATAAATATTACCAGCTCCTATTATGTAAACAATGTTTTGGACTTAATCTTTGACCATTTCTAGCCATTTCCAAGTGCCAACATCGTGGCAGAGGTTGAAGCTCCCACTCTAAAGCCGAAGAAACTAGCGGAGTATGCAATTGAAATTGAAGAATTACGCGAAGAATGTCAGGGAACATAGTAAATGTTGTACATATGGCCCAGCCGGTTGGCAGTGGATCCCGATCTGGCCAGAGGGTCGCATACATTAAGGCTGGTTGGTAGGCCTTTTAGATGGTCCTCGGGCTTCTCTCGACTGATATTTATACGTAGTTGAACACGACGTAGCACTCACTACACGGGGAATTGTCACAAGTGGTTAGGTGATCCACAGCTGATCGCAGGAGTCGTGAAACGAGCCCCCGCCATTGGATTGTGTGGTGTTTTTATACCCTTTTTTCTTTGAGTATGCGGCGGCATCTAAATGAACTAAAGATCAACTTCGTTTTAGTAGCCTTAGCCTCATTACGAATGGAAATGATGATGGACAATAATGACGCGACAACAGGAAGTCCAAGTCGTCGCTGCAATGCCGACGACAAGTCGACAGCCAGCTCGATGCCCGATTCTGATTCTGATTCCCTCGCATTGAATGAAAGCCCCAGATGTACATTGCTGGGGAGCTTCGCACTCCGAGGGAACCAGAACTCAAAGTCGGACACAAACTGGAACTGGGCTAGCGCGTCGTTAAATTGATTTGTGTGTGATCTTCGATCCGTACAACTAGTTTCCATCGTTGCCTGAGAAAGCCCGTTGCACACTGCGTTCTGGCGGCGAGAAAAACAAAATAGTTTCTATTTCAATATTTGTTTGAACATTTCGAAAATGCCAACTAAATGGCCAGACGCTTCCGTTTATGGCCAGTTGGGAGCAGGGAGTCTTATCACTGTCATAAGAGAGTTGTAAAGAATGCTGCGTGCCGACAATTCTGTGAATGCTAATGAGCCGCAGGCATAAATCATCATTTATGGGAAAACAAGTGGCTAATACACAGAAAATAATCTCCTTGGGGTCCAGCCAATTGAGTAACAAATCTACGACAATCCGAAAATTGGCAGCCATTGGACAAGAAGAACCGTTAAAGCCTATTGCCATGGCTGTCATAATTTCGACAGGCCAACAATGGGAAAATGGAAGCTGCAAGCAAAAAGTAACCAACACCCGCACCTTTTCGGCCACTACCGGTGCTTGGTACCATTCTCGTATTGGCCAAGTTTTCCTGTCCGGCTAGCAATAGAAATTAAAGTTAACAAATTTCCGACAATGTTTGGACAGTTTTGCAAAAAGCCAAAGCCCAGCCCGGCCCGGCCAAAACAACATACAGAACAAAACGGCAACAACAGCCAATGACGCCGAGTACCGTAATTGTGGCTCTTTCGGGTTCTTTTGGCCGCATTCAAAGTTGTCAGTTAAATGGAGAAAGAACAGTAGAAATCCAGAGCCAGGAGTGTGGGAGATAGCTAGGATGTTAGTGCACTGGAAGAAAGTCCAAACAGGCCAAGGAATAGATTGCTTTCTAGCTTAACAAGATATAACAAAGTAGTTTCCAGTGCAGACCCATTGCAGATCGTTTGGCTGACAATGCAACTCCTAGGTAGCCGTACCGGCTTCCTTCCATCAGCCAGCGCAGACGCCCCAAAGGCCCAAAATTTGCCGCCAACTTCCAATTGCCCGCCCGTTTCTAATCTCCTGATTTTTTGTTTTTTTGTTGGTTTCGTAGGGATTTGGGCAACTGCAGGAGGAGTTGGCTTTGGCTGGCTTTGAAATGCGAATGTGTGTAAAGTTAAGTTGTCGTCGCTCGATTGTTGTTCGATGAATCGTGATTTTGTCAATTGGAGCTCAAATTTTTTGTGCTGATCGGTTTTCTTTGTGAATGTGAAAATGTTGCACGGTGACTTGGTAATGGGAAATGGCAAATGGGTGTGGGAAAGGCAATTAGAGCGAAGGAAAGTGCCTTCTAATGGAAGTCGAGCATGGGGATTTCTTGGACTGGTAGCTAGGGGCTTGTTTAGCTAGTTTTTGGATCAATTAAAAGATGCAACTATTTTCTGTAGCTTCAAAGTTCTTTAAAAATCTACAGATGCATCTGCCTGACCTACAAACGAAGCCCTCAAGTACTTGGCTAAGATGAGCTCTTAGAAAAAGGAACAGTGACGGTCGGAGGCCATCAACAGAAATCAAATATTGATGAGTTATGGTTAAAGAGAAGAGACCCAGTCCCAGTACAAGCCATAACTTAACACTTTTTGGAAGAACACAGAAATTAAGCAGCGATCTCTGGCACTTGGGCAGAATGATCGGGCAAACAAAACGGTGTTTCTTTCTTGATTTTGGGAGGCTCTGTTGGCTTCGAATCGGTTTGTTTGCCTTTGACAAACAGAAAGGCAAAAGGGAGAACAGAAACGAATTTCAAATAAATCAACACATGCCACAAATGTATATAAGATGTGAAGGAAACTCGACCCCGGCTGCAGGGCTCATAATCATATTGATGTATTACGATAGTTTGTGGAACTCTGAAGTCTGAGGTCTCCAACCATCGTCGACCAACACAACTCAACTGAATTGTTGGGGCTGTAAAAAGCGATCGTAAACCCTAGAAAAACATGGCTGAGAACGCGCACAACGAGCCAAATGAGCTGGGGAACGGGCCAAGAATGTCTTAGCCGGCAGATAAATAATGGAAATGCATACTAATTAAATTGTGAGAACTGCGGTGAGACGGCAACCAAATCTAACTCTTGTCTAATTATTTGCACTCAAAAGACCTTAGATTGCATCTCCAGTTATTTATCATCATCAGGAGTGTCTCAACGAGATGCTAATTATGATGAGGAGAAGAGTGTTTCGGGTCTAATTGAGAATGTCAATAGATTTGGTGGGCTTTCCCCTAATGGTTTCGTTTTTTAGCATTTCCCCTTTAATTGATTTCAATGAGACGATAATTACCGCAGAAAGGGCAATTAATGAGTGCCCCACACGAAAACGAACAGACAAGAACGAAACCGATATTAATGAAATGATTTTTCATAATTAATGAAATTTAATGCAGACCCCAAAAATCCGAGCGTCCGAACAGAAGTTCCCACATCATTAATAAAAAATAAAATCCAAAAAACAGAAAAAAAAGCGACAGAGTGGCAGAGAAAAAGCAGCGACACACACGACGATGTCGAGGAGTTGGCGCTACCCCAACAGAAATTCAAAAGAACTCGAGCAGCAGATACAAAGTTACAAATGTATCTACAAGTCGACAAATTATGCAGCGGCCAGCGAGCGCATCGCTGGCGATTCCTCCTTATCTGGCCGGCTTGTTCTTTTTAGACTGCTTTGGTTTGTCTCGGCTTTTTGGTGAAAATAAATTATAAGCAGTTGAAAATTAAGTCGAACGTTTTGTCCGCTGTCCGTTTAGTGGAAATTTATTGGCCCGGAATCCCCGAACCCGGCAGCTACCTGAACCCGGGAACCGTTGATCTATGGCCAGATTAGGCTCCTCCTGCTCCCGTCCCTCTCGGCGGCTTCACACTCTATTAGCTGCAGCTGAGCTTCTATCGATCGGTTGCATCTGTAAACGCTTACACAAGTATTTTATCGATTTCATTTGCATATGTATCTCCCAAAGCCGATAAAGCCCCCAAAACGCAGATTGAAGCTTATGCACTCCGCTACTTCAGTTGCTAAGCCTCAACTCAAACTCCAAACTCCAACTCAAAATGTTCTCAGCTCATAAAATACCACTGTGAATCATTGTGGCCGCCGCATCCCCCAGATACTTGGCCCTCTCGGGCCCAAGCTGAGGCGACTGGGAGCTCCGATACGATCCTCCTCCTCGGGTCTGCATTTCATTTATTGTGTAATTCCCTACAATGTACTTTTGGTTGCCACGGATTTCTGGTCTTTGCTTTTGAATTTGATTCTTGATTTTATGTCAGTTTATTTATGATAAGATGACCTTTTTTTCTCCTTTTTTCCCCTGGCTTCGTCATCTTTTTTTTCCAATTTTATTTTTATATATTTTTTTTTTTGGGACGTCCCGAGAAAAGGAGTCTTGTTTCTCTAGTTCTCACTCGGTCTGGCTGCATGAATGAATGGATGAATGAAGCTCATTAAATTATGGATCACTTATACGAGGGGCTGGGAATCTGCCAGGGAAATATATTGAAATATGAGAAGTAGACACTTAGAGGAATATCTTATAAATTTTAGTTTTTATCCTCATTAACAAGGATTGATAAAAGATACATTTTATATCTGAAAGTATGCAAAATAGGGGCTATAAGTCCTGGGTATTTTCTTCTAATATTTCTAAGGTATAATTTTTTTTCTTACTGTAAAAATATATAGTCCAGCATAAAAAACACTTTTCAAGCAATTACTGTATATAGCTGACAAAGTAACCTTAACTCATTCGTAAACCCTAACCAGCCTCGGCTTACTATTTTGGTTTTCGAATTCGAGCGGAGATTTGTTCGGTGTTGTTTTGGCTTTTTTTTACACAAGATTTTCAAGATCAACAACGCAGCGTCACGAGAAGAGATGAAAAGCGAGATCTTTTGTGGCGATTAGTGCAAGACAATGAATGCACGATGGATCCAAAAAAAACCCCAACAACATAAAAACAGAAAAAAAATTGGAGAATTTTTAGGAACAGAAAAATAGTAAAAAAAAATGTTTTTTAAACAAGAGTGACAGAGACAGAAGGTAAAACAACAAGAACGAGAACAAGAACACTGAATGGTTTTTTGATCTTTTTTTTTAAGATTTTTTTTTTTCATTCTCGTGTTATGAGAATTGAGCCAAACAATTTTCAACGCGCTCAGACAAAGGCATAAATGCGGAATGGGTCTGGTCTGGGATACTTCATTTTTTGGTCTTTTATTCTCCATTTCTGACAGACTTCTTGGGGCAATATTACTGTCAACGTATATTCCCATTGCCGTTGTTTATCTAAACATAATTGAAATGCGTCCTCAATGGGTTAATTTGGTGTGGAGCAAGGGGCAAACGTAAACACAATTAGGTGCCAAAAAAAAAAACAGAAAAATGTTAAAAAAGAGAAGAGATCCCCACTTGGGGAAATCTCCACACGGGCCAAGATGAAATGACAAAATCTAGAGTAAACCAACTTGATAAACAAACACTGTTGATGATCATTGATGATGGTCCGTTTGGGGCTCAAGTGTGTGCGGGGCGACCTAACAAAATATTGTCTTAGTGCATTTTAATGGTTTAACCCCTTGAGAACGGGCCGATGCATCTTTGCCGCAATTGTGTGGTAAGCGATATGCTGGCCATATCCAATTGCAGCACACCTTTGTCTTCTATTGTCCCTCCCGCTGGCTTAATGACTAGTCAGTTTGTAATGCAAAGCTTACACTGAGGTGAAATTTTGGTGGACCAAGAGGGAGATGGCTGATCTTAAATAAAATATCTATGAGATACATTTATTTGAAAAATGCTATTTTCTTCCAGTGTAAGGCTTGCTTAATTAGGCAGCATCAGCGGCAAAATCTCGAGGTGGACGCCGTCTCGTCGCCTATTTCTCCTTTAGTACCGCCGCTCAGTTAGTAAATCAGACAGATACGCACTCGACTCGGGCTGGGGCAGGCAGGCAACTTCATTAACAGCCTCTCGGTCCGGCCGTTTAAAAAGTAGAAATAAACTATTATTTATGATTATTGTGAGAATTTCACAATGGCATGCAAGAATTTATTGTTAATGCTCTGCTGCCCTCCTCACCGATTCGGCGGTGTGTTGTGAGAGAGGTTGATTTGTTGTAATCTTTGGATGCAGCACAGTGGTTGTGCTGCATTTTATGCAAGTTATGTTTTTGTTACAAAGTAACACATTTTCTGATTGGGATTTATGGAAGTAAAGTAGCCGGTATTTCATCTGTCGTGATAAGGTCAAATTATGTTGTTATCAGGGAGACAAAAAAGACCTAAAACTAGGACTTTATAAAAAGTTTCCACATTACCCACTTCCAAAGTTATATAAAGTCTAAAAACAAAGACAACTCTGACACCAATATTTTTAATAGATTTTTTCTGCCTGTAAGACTTTATTTTTGTGGCTGTTTTGGCACTACAGCCATAAATATATACTTAGCTTTCGTTGTTTGTCTATACATTGGCAGTTTTTATACCCTTGCAGAGGGTATTATAATTTTGTCCAAAAGTGTGCAACGCAGTGAAGGAGACATCTCCGACCCTATAAAGTATATATATTCTTGATCAGGATCACCTCCTGAGTTGATATGAGCATGTCCGTCTGTCCGTCGGTCCGTCTGTCTGTCTGTTTCTACGCGAACTAGTCTCTCAGTTTTAAAGCTATCGTCTTGAAACTTTGTACACATCCTTCTTTCCTTTCAGTCAGAACGGCCCGGATCGGCCGACTATATCCTTTATTGCGTTTATTATGATCTAATCATAAGGATTGGCCAACTGCATCCGATGTTTGCGATATATATCCGGTTTTAATTGCAAGGGTATATCAACTTCGGCTCCGCCCGAAGTTAGCTTTTCTTTTTTGTTCAGCTTAAAAATGCAATTAAAATCCCATTTTGCAGACAGAAAAAAATCCTACATATAGCATTTTACTTGAACCAATATTTAGTAGGCTAATATCGAGAAAGTCCTTCTTATAGCCAACTTTAACGATTATCTGAAATTATCAATAATCCCCATATCATTCCCAACCAATTAGAAAACATATTCATTTATAATTCATTCATAAAAATTTTTTATTGTTTTTTTTTGAGTTTTTTCTTTGCATTTGTTGCTTGTTCGTTTTTTTTGTGGCTTTTTTGTTTGCTTTGTGTTTTGAATTCATTTTTTAATTACTAAAAAATTTCATAAAATTGTTTAGACTAAATTGTAAGTACAACACTAAATTACAATTGTATGCATGTAACTACTATTTTATAATTTTTTTTTGTGTTTCATTTTTCTTTTCTTTCATATAAATATTTTGTAGGGTTCTTTACTTTTTACAATTTCCTTGCGAGTGCTTTCTAATTTTTTTGTTTCATTTTTTTTCGGGGTTTTCGTTTGCAATAAAAATATAAATTACTAAAAACGACTATTTAAAAATTAAATATTTATAAAAAATATATGTGAGTGGCTATAGCTTAAGTCCTGTATGAGAACGGTTCACAGGATCGGAGAACTTTATGTACAAGTTGGATGAGAGTACTGTGATAGCAAATGTATAAAAATATATATACTGTGTTCGAGTTATCAGATTATTTGCTGCACAGTGTGGTTTTAGCACTTTTACAACTAGTTTTCACTTCTTTACACTAACGAGGAACCATTTGCAATTTAAATGTAGTTTTTTTGTGGATTTAATTTTGACATTCTGGAATTCCGCAAACAGTTTTTGAGTTTTTGCGTTTTTCGTGCTGCACATTGTCTGGTTGTCTTCGGCTTTGAGATCAAAATTAAATTGTATAAACCATTTTGCGTAATAACAAAAATAATAATTAGAAGACTATTGGAGACTTGGAAAGAACACGAAATTTCATAGGTTTTTGTTTGTATAAGTCGCTTGTATATTTCATTTTTTGTATAATTTTTTTTTTTTCAATGAATATTCAGATTTTCATAATTTTTTTTCTTTCTTTCTTACAATTTATAAATTCAATACATTTCGTTTACATTTAGCTGCTAACTACAAGTATTATTGACTTCATCGCTAATAAATGCTCCAATTGGAATAGGCCAAAAATAATATTATAGAGGTTTAAGATTGACAATAATAAAAAATTATAATAAAAATAAAAAGATTAAAAATCGGGAGGAAAAAAAATAATTTTGGATAGGGTGGTAAACTAGAAGTACTTAAAATAGAATCACTAAATTTTTTGCTTGTCTTCGTTTGTTTGTTTTGGGTCTTTTTAAATTAACATTAAGCTAGGGTCGAGTTAAGTTTAGGGTTTCTTCGATTCGCTACATTTACAAATACATAGTTAGAACTAAATAGTCGAGATAGTCAATTTATGTAGTTTTTTTGTGTGGCTTTTCATGTTTTTTCTCTTATCCTTTTCGTATATCGATGTGACCTATAAGTACTATATACAAATCGCCCGATCCGGTCAACTGCCTTGCATAGAAAAGCAGTCCCGGTGTGGTGCGGCGTCAATGAGGAGGTTTCTTTTCAATCATTTAGCATTAGATTACATTTAGTCGAACGTAGGCTAATGTAGGCTACAATTACTATTTACAATTCATATCGAACTAGGTGAAAAAAATAGATTAAATTGAAGCAGATTTTTCAGTAACATGCAAAACGTCAAAACGTGTGCAGAGTCATCCCTCTGACTCTGTCGTCCAGTGTGGTTCTTGGTCTTGATCTAAATTCTATCTAGCAATTGGTCAAGTAGTAGTTTTTTAGAGGGGTATTTTAGAGGCCCGAATTTCAATTTTTTCAATACGGCAGACTTTATGGTGTATTACTTTGTGCTTGCGTCAGTCCTTTGATTATGTCCAAGGTTACGAAATCTGTTACCATTGGCCAGTTGGGACATATATAGGTTTGGTTTAAAAAATGCCAATGCAATAATAAAATCTTTAAAAAATACTTTCAATATTGTCGAAACGGCTTTGGTTACAGATTTGGTAGTTATTGTAGAGTGTGCAGGGAGTTTCACGAGTTATGCCTGTTACAGATATATCTTTTGCTTTTGACGACTAAAACTGCTTCAATCAACAACAATATTTTGGCGTCTCTCTTACATTTCGAACCCAACCCAGTCTTTTCTTTGTGTTTGTGCTGTTGGCTCCAACAGATCCTCGAGATCTCTTCCGGCTTTGGGGAGTTACATGTGCGGAGTTCCGCAGACGACGGACCGCTGTTGTTGCGCCGTCCCCGCTCCGCTGCCCGTCGCCGAGGCGGCGGCCATCAGTTGGGAGGAGCAGGCACCCGCCACTCCCGCCGCCGCCAGGGATGGCCAGCGCTGGCTGCAGTAGGATCCCTCGCCGAGCACGGAGATCCGCTTGCCCTCCGCCGCTCCCGGAGCGCCCTTCGAGGAGCTGCCGGCGGGTGAGCCGCGGTGCATCAGCGTGGGATCTGTGTTGAGCTGCTTCTGGGACTTAGCCCGCTGCAGGGGAGCCACACAAAAATCCGAGTTGGCATTGTTGTTGTCCGCCGGATTGGCCACGTAGCCACCGTACATCAGGCATTCGTCCGCCGCAGCTGCCGCCGCCGCTGCCGCAGCAGCCGAGGCGCAGATGTTGTTCACCGACTTGTCCCATGTGTTCTTGATGATGTTGGGATTGCCCGAATCGAAGGTGAGTCCGTTGCTGCTGCCCGTCTTGCCGCCCAGAGAGGACGAGGCCAGAGCTACACCCACTCCGCTGCCATTGTGATGGAGGGTGGCCACTGCGTTCTGTTCGTTCTGCTTCCTGGCTTCGGCGTCGTCCTTCTCCTGGGCACGCTTGCGCTTGCGCTTCATGCAGAACACCACGCAGGCGGCGATGACGGCCACTAGGGGCATGGCCACCGAGAAGACGGCTATCAGGACCACCTGGGCGTTGGTCAGGCCGTCAGCTCTGGCTTGGTGGGTGGCAGCTCCGTATTGGTGGGCGCCGAAGGGGACGGAGGCGTAGGACTCCTCGTCACACTGTTCGCCGCGGAAACCGTTGGCGCAGACGCACTCGAAGGAGTTGACCCGGTTCATGCAGGTGCCGCCGTTGTGGCAGGGAGAGCTGCTGCACTCATCAATGTCCACCGAGCAGTCCTTGCCGGTGAAACCTGCCCTGCAAGTGCACTGGTAGTCGTTGTTCAGGTTCGTGCAGGTTCCTCCGTTGGCACAGGGTCTGATCAGGCAGAGGTCTACTTTGCTGCTGCAGTGAGTGCCATGGAATCCGGGTACGCACTGGCAGCGGTACTGGTTGACCATGTCGATGCAGGTGCCGCCGTTTTCGCACTCGTGTCCCAGGCAATCGTCGATGTTGGTTTCGCACTTGGGACCCGAAAATCCGACCGGACACACGCAGTTTCCATTCGCCTGGCAGGTTCCTCCGTTCTGGCAGGGATTCGGACTGCAGTTGTCTAGCTGGAGCTCACAGGTGGGTCCGCTGTAGCCGATGGGACACTCGCACTGGTAGCCCTGACCCTTGCCTCCCAGACCGGGTCGCACGTTGCGGCAGATTCCCTTGTGGCAGGGTTTGTCCGCGCAGGTCAGTACTTTCTCTTCGCACATCCTGCCGCTCCAGCCGTTGGGGCAGTGGCACTTGTAGCCGTTTTTCGTCGGGGGCTCATCCACGCAGGTGCCGCCATTCTGGCAGGGATTAACTTCGGCGTCGCACGAGTAGATCTCCCGTTCGCAGTCATCGCCCACGAATCCGGGGGCGCACTTGCAAGTGTAGAGTCCTTCGCCGGTGTTGAAGCAGGTGCCGCCGTTCTTGCAGGGCCTGTGATTCGTGCAGTAGTTGAGATCCTGGTTGCAGTAGAGACCGCCCCAGCCCTCGTTGCAGATGCAGGTCCAGGGCTTGTTGCAAGTTCCATGGATGCAGTTGGGTTCAATGACGCATTCGTTGCACAGAGCTCCCTTCCATCCCAGCTGGCAACTGTAAAAATAAGAGAAAATAAAGCAAGTGGTTAGTGTGGTCTTTGTTGGGTTTGAATCAGAAACAGTGTGACCTTATTTCGTCAAAAAAATATAATACAAAATACTAAAAGATCTTCGACTCTGCTTAGTGATGCGCCTCGAGCGGTGGCTTATTTTTGAATCTCCACCACCTGCTCCACGCACTGTATGTACCTTTCCCCCGCCTCCGTCGCAGACTTGTTTGCCTGCCACGCTTGACTGGAGGCAGAAAAGAAAGAGGAAGATGGCTTGTCAACTTGAAAAAGTCGCATTCGCAATTGAAATGAAAATAAAGCGAATGCCTCTCTCTCTCCGCAAGAAGTCACATCCGCACACTCGAAAGCCAGTTGGAGAGTCGAAATATTTTTGCATTTCTCACGATCATAAATTGATTTCATACCAAAACAAAATAAAAGAAAAAGAGGACTGCTTCCTCTGCAACGCATAGCGGAGGCACGCAACAGACGCACGCACGCACGCTTGCCCCAAACAGATGCAATGCAAAAAAGCCTTCACCCACAAAAATTTCAATAGTTAATAATTCAAACTAACCGACAGACAGACAGACAGACGGTTAACCTGTTGAATAGTGGAAGGCCAGGTGGAACAGAGGGGGTGGCAGCAGGCAGGTGAGACAGACAAGTAGTAATTGATATGCGTCAGCCAGTGTATGCCACAAAGAAATGTCAAAAAAGCAATGTGCCAACTATCCGCAACATGTGTTTGTTTGTTGGTATTGTGTTTAGTGTTATTGTTGCTTTCTGTTAGCTGTATGGTGTATGCGCTTAGAATTATTAAAATATTCCCACCATCAAACAACTTGGCCAAGAGTGGCACGCATACTCGGGCGTAGCTGCGGTTTCCAGCTAACTTCCAATTCGATTCACAAAACAAACCAATCACCACTCACTACTGGTGTGTGCTTCACACAATGATGTGTGGATTTTGGAGCTATTTTTTATTTGGCACAATTATCGGCATGCTGGACCACAAAATGTTTCATTTCCGCCTGGCTCTAGAGATGTGTTTATTGGCCAACATAATGCATAAATAATGACCAACATCCTCTCGGCGTTTGAAAATCAATTTGCCAGATCGCTAGGTGATAGCATCAGAGACCCCAACAGTCACTTTACTAAAACATTGAGTTGGCAATAATCCTTTTGTACACAGCTGGATGGTAGTACTTTGTTGAAACATTATGCCTCAAATAAATGAAAATATTTGCCAGCGTTGTCAAAAGTGTACGCTTACACCTTGATGGGCAGAAATGTGGGAAAACTTCGGTACTTGTAATTCAATTTGGACGCCTGGCCCGTCCCGGCCTGGCCTGGCCTGGCCTGGGCTGAAATTGTAATGCAAAACCCCGGCCAAATCAAATGACATCGCGCCGTCGAACCGAAAGAATTTCTTGCGGTCGCCAAACAAAAACAAAAACGTGCAAATATATATAAAAAAAAAAAAAAACGATAATAAAAAATAAAAATAAAATAAAAGAGCTGCAAAGTGTTTTTTGCCCTTTTGGCAAAGTATTCCAGCGAATACTCTCGGTAGCAGTCAAACATTGAGCATTACATTGAAAAGGTGTGTCCCAGTCCCATCATGATGGCTGTTGTGTTGCTATTTGGGTGTCTGTTTGTTGGCTTTGCTGTTTCTTCAACAACAAACACAAACAAATAAAACGTGCCAACCACAAGGAGGACAAGAATCATCATTAAATTGAAGCCAAGTTAGTTGAGGCCTAATTAGCAACACAGTTGGCTGAATAAATGCCATACTTTAGGATATCTCAAGATGGGTATGTCTCTGGTACGTCACAAAAGGCCCAATCAAATATTTAAAATCAAATAAGATACTTACACGCATTGGTTGGGTTTCTCGCAGTGTCCATGCTCACAGCCCTTGGCGCATTTCGCTGCAAATAGAAGAATAGAGAAACATTTAAATATAAATTAATTGAAATGTAAACAATACGGGTGTGGTGTTTGGGGGAAAAAACACTTTCCAAAAAGCTTAAATGGCCTCCCCACCTGCCTACTAGTGAGGGACACCCACTCTCGAGCGACTCGGCCCACTCACAGCCATTCAGATCCATCAAATCGAGGCAATTCCGAAGGCAGAAGTGCCGAAAAAACTTTCTTTTTCACGCGTCTGGCAATGAAAAACCTAAAAGATGTCTTTGGGAAATAAAACAAAGCGGCGCGAAGCAAACAATAGAAAAACGTTTAAAATGTTTTAGCACTAACTAAAAAAAAAAAATAAATGAAGAAGAAACACAAAAAACTATAAAAATGAATCATGGCCAGTGGCTTTCAAACTTTCTGGCGAGTGCTGGCTGGCTGGGTCGGTGGTGAGGGTTTTTGAGCCAAGCAGGAATAACTTGTTTCTAAGGCCAAAAAGGAAACACACAAAATGAAATAATCCCATGGCCAGGAGAAGAAGTAGCAGCAGTCGCGGCTGAAGCAGCTGAGGCGGAGGCCATGGCCCAAAACAGATTCCCAAGCTCAAAAGGTTCGACGAAAACTTCGATTGGAAGCTGAAGCCGGAGCTGGAGATGGAGCTGAAGCTGGAGCTGGAGAGCTTCAAGTTCGGATCTCTGAAGAATGTGGCAAACATGTTTCTTCTGCCGCCGTCGAGAGAAGAAATAAGAAGGCAGGAAGTTGGGGAGTTGCCACAAGGGCCTAGAGAGTGACGGGGAGCTGAGAGAGGGAGTGGGGTAAAAGTCGTGAACAAAACTAAAAAAGGCAATGCCAAAAGGAATCCACAGAACCCCTTGGTGGTGGAGGTGGCTATGGAAGGAGCCTGCCAACCAGCCTGCTCCTCTTTAAACCAAGCCGAGGAGTTTCATTCAGAAGCAGGCATCGGCGGCAGGAAAATTGCTAGAAAATCACAAAAACGTGTTCTGTTCTGCCGCTGCCCTCTTTTAATATTGTCTACAGGAGAGGGGAACAAAAAAGCGTAATATTGGCAATGGCCAATGATTTTTATTACCAATCGCTGGAAATAGATTTTCCCGGCCAGAAAGTGAAGTGGACTCCCAGACTGGCGGCGGGTTCACACGCCCGAAGGCAGCAAATTGATAGAGATAATCTACTTAATCGGTTGATATACTGATACTTTCACTTTTAGTTATAATTCTCAAGGCTTCCATTTCCCCCCCATATGTACTTTTATGAAGTATCTCGCAGATGTATCTTTTTAGCACCCACAGGCCGTCCAGCTGCCGAAATAGCTCATTTCCTTGAAATTAACTCCGAGCTCCGAACTTCATTCATACGCATCTTGGCCAAAAACAAAAAAAAAGAATTGGGAAAAAAAAACGTTCGAGACCTTTTGGGCCAATTTACTTGACCACTTCCACTTGAACAGGCCTCCTCTCTGCAGCCTGCACGTTTGGGCTTTTTATTTGTTCCTGCTCCTGCTCCTGCTGCTGGAAAATAATTTTCGCACATGTGTGTGTGCCTTAATTTAAGCTCATTTTTGCGCATTTAAGTTGAAAATAAAATATAGGAGGCAGTGGAAGCAGCAACAGCAGCTGCCTCTTCCGCTGGCAACTTGCTAAACCGGCAGCAGGACACAAAAATTATTTGCCCCGAAAAAAGGCAGCAAAAACCAAAAAAAAAAAAAAAAACACAAGACCCAACCATGGAAAAGGGAAGACAGGAGTTGAGGAGGAAGCCGAGGCCAGTCTTCAGCAGACTACGACATTTAAGGTGTAATCAGACGTTGCCACAGCCCTAAAGGAAGTTTGTTCTTGGGTTCGGATTCGGGTTCGGAGTCTTCTTCGTCTCCTGGTCCTCAGATATGTTCGGCATGCAGACGATCCGAACCGAACCAAGCTGCTGTGTATCTGTGTCTGCGTATGGTACAGATACACAGATACATTTACAGGTACACGGGCAGAAGAGCCACGCCACCACACCTTTTTGGTCCGAAAACCCAGGGCCCTTGCACTTGGCGTGGGAAGATTTTTGTGTTCTCCGCCCAATCTCCGCAGTCCGGACTCTGCATCATCAGTTTTGTGTCTGCTCTGATTCACAGTTGAAAATGTTGGTAAAGGTAGCGCTACCAATGGCAGCCAACTACAAAGGGCTGCCCGAATTTCGGGTTCGCTTCGGGCCCTAGTAGAGTTCGTTAGACGTTTTGTTCTTTTTGAATGACAAATGACTTTTCCCCGATATCTTGTGCATTTTGTTTATATTTTTTTGTGCTTCAGAAATCGCTTCCCGAACTTCATTGATTTTTAATTTATTTATTTGACTTTGATTTTTTCCACTTCAGAGCCATTTTCTGTATTCAAATTTTGTATCTCGATTTTGTGTCAACTCATCGCCGTACGCATTCGACAATAATTATACTTTAATTCGTTTCTCTGACTGACTGGCTGACTGACTGACTGTTTTCGGGGTATTGTGTACAATCATCTCATTTGATTTGACAAGCAAGTGATTTTCAATAATAACGAGAGCTGCCAGCAAAAAATAACTAAGGTTTGGAGCCACTTGACTCGAGGGAGATCGGCAGAAGCAACAACAAACACCGGGACAAGTGGTTTTCGGCCTAAAGAATGCGTTGAGTGCTGATCGAGGCTATTGATCCGTGAGATACTACTTTCGTTTCCTAAATATTTCATCATTCCATCAGAGGAACATTCTATTAGATTACTAATATCTTAAGCTATATACTTACGTATGTGACAGTAATCGCCCTGCCATCCGGTCAGACAGATAATTTCGCCCGTCTCCGAGCAGGTGGAGTGACCGAATGAGTCGTCGCGGGGCCGGCAGAACTTGGCACAGCCGGATCCGTAGTAGTTTGAGTCGCAGGTGACACGGAAATCGTACTCCATTGAGGTGAACTGCGATTCCGATTTGTTGGACTTCCAGTCGGAGGACACCTCCAGTACCTGCTGCACCAACAGCCGGTGGATGAGTTTGCCTGTAAAGATCAAGACCACGATAAGTGTGTGAGAACAAGTTGGGCTCGACGATAGACTAATGAAGATTAATTGGGTTAAAGATGATCCGATGAGATGGCGCTGGCGCTCAAGGCAGAAACCCATGCCCCATCGGAATGCAGCAAATGAGCAATAGAACTGAAAACCCAAAAACCGAAAATCAAACGAAGAAACTTGAATAGCAGCCCGTCGTACCCCCGAAATGCAATTGCTTGTCACAGAGTCAAGTGCTCAAAGCTGAGGTATGCAGTTTGGTTAGGGTACGGAGTACTACTTGGTATTTGGCGATGAGAGAGGCAAGCTGGCAGACTGGCAGACACGGGGCATGGCTAAAACACAAAAAAAAAATATAATAAAACAGAAAACTGCAAAACAGGCAACAGGCAGACCGCCAGCCAAGCTCGGCAAAGTATTTTTCAGCTGTTCGCCACGACCGGTCTCAACTTTGGGATGGCTGGCAACTGCAACTCGTTTGTGTGCGTCGGGTATCTACAGGCACATTTGCACGGCCACAGATACAGATACGGATACGGATACCGATGCAGATGCAGATACATGTGCAGCCGCATTATGCCATGGTCTATAAAGTAAATTGCAGGTGCATGACTATTCGAATTGCTAAAGCCGAAGAGCTAAAGCCAAAGCAAAAGCTGAGCTCAAGTCGAGTTGGGATCGAGTCGAGAAAAGCCAACATAAATCTCCCGCAATGCCAAACCACTAAAATATTTGGCTAAAAGCCAAGAACAAAACAAAACAGCCAATAGAGTCTGGCTCTAGGCAGTGGCGCACACAGTAGCCTCCAGGTGAAAGTGAAAACCAGAGCACCGATGAGAGGGAACTCACTCCTAATGGCCTTAGGCCATTTTCCTCGAATGCGATTGGGTAATTGGCCAAAATGTTTGCTGGCCAAATATATCGGAGCGCATTTGGCCAAGCTATATATTACACATATGGAGCGAGTTTATTGACAAGCAGCCCAACTGGTTGGCCAATAAAAATATTAAATAAAAACTCCAACTCCAAAAACTCGCTAATTAATTACCAAAAAATATGCACAAGAATTCTTGGCCAGTTGGCCCGGCCAACAGCTAGTTGGCAATTGCATTTTTGGCCATTGCAGGCTCGTGTGCTTCACCTGCCGGCAACATGGAAAAGCCTTCAATGCAAAACTCGCACCAGCCAACAACATTCCCCAAAGCAAACGCAAAAAATTGAATTGTACTCCGCCAAAGTCCATGGTTTTATTTACATTCGCCACAGAGGCACACACTAATGCGATAAAGCCCATGGGATTTGTGGCATGACAGGTTATTAGACAAGCCGGCACAGAGACGCACAGTTTCTGGCCCGGTCAGGCCAGTTTGGAAAAGCGTCGGAAAATAAATGTATCAGGCAAATTTTGTGAAAATATTTACGCAAAGCTGGCCACCTCATAATTATCTTGGAAAAGTTTGGAATGGCTTCGAAAGGTGATTGCTTGTGCAATGATGGAATTTCACTAGAGAGCCACATACTCTGTCTTTTTAGCCGTTTTGTCAACCTATTTAGGATACAAATGAGTGAAATTTGTGGCCAACAAATTTGCAACAAGAAATCCAAACTTGACTTCAAGATCCTTTACAAACCCCTCCCTCGAATTTGGTTTTTTTGTTTTTCTGAAGCGGCGGGAGCAGCATCCGCCTCCCCAAGTATCGCTGACTTGGAGTTGAGGAATTTTTTCGAAAATACCATTTTATCAAGACACACGACGACACAACAAAAACGAAAACAGCAACAACGACAAGTTTTGTGGCAGACAGAGGAGACAGCAGACAGAATACAGAAGATCGAAGGAAGCGAAGGCGAAGTCCAAGTCCAAGTCCACAGAAAAGAGTTGGCTTGTTGCTGGGCTGCCGCTTCTTGATCCAATGAGTTAAAATTAAAAGATAAGCATTTTAACAACATCGAACCAGGAGAGCAGCAGCAACCAGGCAACCCGGCAACACAACGTGCAACTAACAACTTTGGCATTGGCAGAGATTAATTGGTAGGTAGGGATAGGTGAGGAACCAGAAGAGTCTCCACTGCGGACTCCAATGAAAATCTCGAGAGCCAAGAGTTGAAAGATTTTGGAACGCATCAAGTCGAGAATCACCTTGCAATACCAGATACACTGTGAGAAGAAGAAGGCTTTTGAAGATTAGGAAGGAAGGATATATAGAATATACTTTCCAGCCATAAAAGTAAAGGACTTTTCATAAACTATCTTATGGATATTTGGACCAAAAACATCTTTATTTTCAAATGACTAGTTATGATTTTCTTTGTGCATTCTCGCATTCAGATTCTTTTGTGGCCAACAGGTCCGGTTGCTGTGGCTCTGGGCCAGGCTCTGGGCTGTGGCTTAAAGGTCGCCATGTGCGTGGCGATGCGGTGTGCGTCTCCCTCTCCTTTATGTAATTTATGTTAAATGAATATAACAAAAAAGAGCTAAACTCGTTGGCATAAACTCGCTGTGCAAGTCGAAGTATGCGGGAGACCGTCATTCAGCAGGCAGGTCTGTTCGAAAAAGGAGGAAAAAACTATGTTGCATACTTTTAAATAATGAAATTAATCCTTGACAGGCGGCGAGACTAGGAAATCTCAGTGTGCACAGAAATTGAAATTGCAATTGCAGGACGGAGGACGGAGGAGTGGGGATGCATCCAACAGATACTTGTACCGATAAAGATCTATTAGCCTGGGACCGCCTCGGAAATTAGCCTGTAGCCGGGCTGGCGCAGCGGGAAGCCGGCCAAGTGAAAATCTGTTAAGGAGCAGCAGACTCTCCATTGAGGGCGAAACAATTAAAATTCCTTCAAGGAATAGGGCAGCTAAATTTAGAAAACCAGGAAAAAAGGAAAAATTTAAAGACAAAAAAACAAAGAGCATAACATGATAGAAATTCCAATGAAAACTCCATAAATCTCCAAGAGAAGAAAGTGCAGGTAGCTAAGCCCCCGAGCAGGTAGCTTCTCCTTCACTCTTTTTATCAAATTCTGTGGGAAAATCGTCAACAAAAAAATGGGATTTTATTAAAAACGAAGTATTTGTGGGATTTAGTGAAAAAGAAGAAAGAAAAATCGGTTGGCTTTGTCAAGGATTCGGCCAAGGCCTCATCTTGAGGAAGATCCTTGTGTGGTCCTTATCGCTGGAAGACAATCAGTTACTACACACAGATCCATGTAGCATTGTTCCAAGATGGATTACGCACGATCTTGGGGAAAGACAATCGAATCGGAATCGCCTTGGACTAGCATTTTTAGATCGTGATTTCCAGCTTAATTGCATTTTAAGCAAATGAGGGATGGGCTCAACCTCAGCTCAAGCTCAACCTCAGCGCACACTTCCGTTGGAACTTCAGCCAGACAAGACAACAAAAGGCGACAAAGTCTGGGCCATATAACCCCGGTTTATCCCCGGTGTGTGTTGTGCTGTGTGTGTTTGTTATTTAAAACCACTCAATGCCCCGGAAATCTTACACTGAGCGAGAGAAGGCTAGAACCTGCCAGAGTATCGAGTTGCAGGTTGGCGGTGATCGTCCGTCTTAGGGGTTATATATTTTTTGACAGTTTTCGATCATCACAGGAAGCAGGATGATGAGCTCATAATTTGATGAGCCTCCAAGGAAGTAATTTAACAGGCTAAAAACTACATATATCGAATAAATATATACTTACTTTTGGATCGCGCATTGGCGGTCAGATTCGTGTCGTGCCAGGCTTCGACGATCATCGAGAAGGTGCCCTGTAAATCGGAAAGAAGAAAGGAAATGATTAGATAGGCTTGAAGAAAGTTGAGGAAATGACTAGCAATATAAGTTATCAAACCGAATCGTCTGCAACTAATTTTGAAGCTAATGGGAAGCTCTCAAGCCCCCACATCGACGAGCACTCATTATAAAGAGATTATGACAGGCGGCTAGGCAACTTAAGACACCCACACGAATGTCGAATGCAATGCATTTGAAATGCAAATCGGCAACTACCATATATACCACATACATAGCTGCAACCGGCAGGCAGCGCCCTCAATTCACACTTGATTTCGAATGCAGCCAATGCTGGTATTACTGCTGCTGGAAAAACCGGCAGAGATGACACAAAATCCAAATCCAATGAAAAACCAGCCCATGGCAACTTTTGCAGAGGTGTCTGCTATAGCCATGGTTGGTTTCCATGGGCGTAGTGCTCGGATTGCGTAGAGATCCCAGCTTAAAGCTGCACTGCATTGCATGTAAATGACTAATTTTTGTGGATTCGACCAACTTTCGATTTTGCGTGGGCGAACAGGCAGGCAGCATGGAGATGTAGAATTAATTTGGTTGATAAGCCCGAGTTGCCGATTGATTGCATAACGATTGCCATTTGGTGTGTCAGACATTGAAATGGTGTGGTTTTGGCGGATCTCTTCTACTATTTGTCGCTGTTGCTGTTGCAGTTGCAGTTGCAAATAAACGTTAAAAATTTATATGGGCACGACAGGAAGCAAATCAGACATAGATGATCAGCTATAGCCGCTAAACACAATGGGAAATGAGCAGGAAAGGTAATAACAAACGAATGAAATGAAATGAAGCGCTGCGATGGTTTATTGGTTTTATTGTCCAGAGAAATAAACTTTTCAACAGTGGCTACGTGATTACTGATCGTCGTCTGCATAAACTTTACCTCCCATTCCCGATTGTGGGAAATCTTCACCAAGCTTACGTGTGGCATTTTAATGCCTCAAGCATTATAATATTAATTAGAAAACAATGAAATTTAAATCTTTTTATGGCATATTTTTAAAGTCCATATATCTGAGGATATCCATTGCAATTTTCTTCAAAGGAAAACTCGCATTTTTCACCTTAAATGAGCTTCCTTTGCAGATAAGTAAAGTGCATAAAAAGAAGCGAGTACCTAGAGAGCACTACTCGTGCCCCGGCGTATGCCAGATCCAAAAATAAATGAGGCAACATGCATCAGCGGCCGCTTAGTGAATATCGCGTGCGTCGGTGCTGTATATCAACGTCAATATCCAGTACATTGCATAGGGATTCGAGTACGGATGGGGTGAAGTTCGGTAGTAGGAGTGGCAGTGGTAGCCAGACACGTAGCAACAGGGGGACCAACCAACTCTCAGAAGACACAACCCAGAAGACAGAAGACAAGACACTCGGACAGACTGGGGGGACAAAAGTAGCAAAGTTCAATACGAACAAGAGGAGCATGAATGCTGCCTGCCATCGCTTGACTATTTTTAGTCTCCAAGGGGGCGGTAGAGGCAGGGCTGGCTGGCAACCCCCATGCCACATCAGCAACAACATCTTTTGGCGTGTTGTCGCTCGTCGGCGTGGCATGCGTGGCCCTCCGCCTTTCGTTGTTTTAATTAAGTGCAACATTAAATTAGTTGATGCAGCCAGCAGTTGCAGACACAACTATAATTAAGTTTATAGTTTGACCTAGAAATATTTTGAAGTTGAAAGTGCGCAACAAGAAGGCTTCAATTTAGAACTCCTTAATCCCCTAATTCCCCCTATTTTTAGATGCCTAGGCCCACTAGACTATTTTTATCGAGTAGTCTGAAAATTTCCATAATTTTTCGTGCATTTGGCGCGTGCTTTTTAAGCGCTCTCCGCCACTAGTTAATTATGCTAACCCACAGTTGGCTAATTGTTTATTTATGCCTCCCCGCAGTAAACCGCTAAAAATGTACATTGCAGCTTACACATTTCACGTGCCAAACATCTTTCGCTACCTGGGGTCCGGCATGGTAGGTTCCCCTCCTGGTCGTAACTCGCCTCCCCCTTGGCGGACCATGACTCTGCACACTTGAGGAATATGTGTGTGTGTAATGATAATAATAGTGACGCTGCACATGCGCAACACTCGACAATTAGGAAGTAAAGTGTCTACGCAGAGGGTTAGCGTGTATATCTAGGAAAGGTAAGAAAGAAACACCCCTAAGGCTGCGGGCTCACTGACACAAAAATACGTTACAAACTCCAGTTATTGCTTTGAAGCTTGAGTAACTTCTTCGTTTCTAGGGTGGACCCATCATCATTCTCTACGGCAAAGCGTCTTGTTGTAATAATAATTAAGAAATGCACGGCATGCCACGATATACATACTTTTCCTGGCCACTCGAGCTGAACAGAGAATAGCCTCCGTGGAGGTATTTCAAAATTTCAGCCATTTATTAAGCACACGTGGGCTTTGAAGGGAGGAAAAATAGGGGGTAACTTCGTTGATAAATAAATCACCAAAAGCCTAGCTATCAGTAACTCTGAATAGAGAATACTATTCCTTCTCAACTCCCATTTTCTATTAGAGGCTTTAATAACTCTACTTATCGATAACTCTACGGTTGTTTATACATATATGTTTGTATTTATAAATACAATATACCATATATCCAACAAAGTCAAACAGGGAAAGTAATGGGGAAAAAAAGTAACGGCAATTCCAGGAGCTAGGGGTGGTTATATGCTGCTCATAACCTTGTGTGCCAGCGATCTGGAAATTGTCGCTTCGGATCAGATCTCTGGTGGTGGTGGTGGAAGTGGTGGCAGCAGTACTGAGTGGTGCGATATGGTGGCTCTGTGCTCTGTGGTGCGGTTCGCGCACGCGTTTTCAGCGCATTTTTAATAGCCGACAGATGTTCGGCTGAGCGGCGTGTGCGCCAACAACCCTCGACAAGGACGCTCAGCGGAAATAAACGCGGCGGCGACGGCCCTGGGGAGTTCTTCCTCCACCAGAGCAGGGCCGGGCAGGGCAGGGCAGCAACCCGTCTATAAAAAGCCCAAACAAATTAGCAAAGATGCCGCACGAATAAGTTTTCATTTGTGCAGTTTTCAGAAGACAACTTGGAAATTATTATTGAATGACTGACTGAATGAGTGACTGGCGGCGGCGTAGGGCGAGTCTAAATTTAAACACCCGGCATCTCATAAAGAAAACTGTTCTGTGATGATTACTTACCGGCCAGGAAAACTGGAAGCTGAACTGGATGGGATTGGAGAAGCCCTTGTTCTCCAAACGCTTGGCGTCGGTCAGGTTGACCGAGTTCTCACCCAGAATGGGCGTCACCACGTCCCCATAGGTGCACGGCGAGGTGGTGTCGATGGTGGCCTGGTAGTGTTTCAGGCAAACGCGAAACCGCGTCTTGCAGCTTCCGAGGCACTTGCCCGTCGCCGCGTCCGTCTCCCCGCTGCAGCAGCGTCCCTCATGGTCGCGCCCATGCTCGTTGGCGAAGTACTTCAGTCGCAACTCAAAGTTGCCGGAACTGTGAACCTGCAAAGGGATAATGCATTTTTTTTATTAGTCAAATCAAATTAAAAAGCAATTCATTAAAAAGGGGACAAAGCCAAGGAATAAAATGGTGGCACACCACACCCGGGAGCTGGGGGTGAAGAAATCGGAAAACAAAGAATGCAGCTCCCAACAAGACGATAAATCTTTCAACATTGGTATTTGAACAAAAAACTGAAATTGCAGAGGAATTTGCAGCAAAAGCGGCAGCCCGGCAGTCGAGGCGAGAGCCCAGGGACCAATGCAAAGGACAAAACGAAAACGGGCTTATGAAATATTAAGAGAATCAACGAAAAAGCCCCGGCCACATGACAAATGCTCAGCAAGCGGTCGTTTTGGATTTCTTCGACCCCACACCCCATAACGATCCGCTCCGCTTCGTTGCGGTCCGATTCGGTTTGCAATAAATTCCGCTTCGTTTCCCTGGCCCAACCTGGACTTGGCTTTCTGCTCGACTTTCGTTTTGAAGCGCCGACGATATTTGCATATTTGGATTTTAAATTTGGCTTTTGCAAATTTGTTTGATAGCCGTCATCTCATAAATTTCTCAATTAATTTGACGGCGACTTTTATGCGAAGGTGTGAGGGAAATTAGCTAAATGGGTCAAGCATGTGTTGGATTGATTTTCTAATATTTTCTATCTAAGGAAATTGCTAATTAATGAACACAAACAAGTTATTAAACCAAGAGAAACATAAAAACATCTTTAAAAGCTTTTTATTTTGGAGGGTTTTTATTTATTTTTTTAAGGGAAATTCTTATTACACCTCATTTTGGAGCTGGTACTTAAAATTTAATTATGACTTCATCAGGTGGATCCATAAATGGGCTAGACAACCGGCCAATGCCCAAAAATAGGTGCACTGACGCGGAGTTATTGCTCCGTTTTCTATAACTGTTCGGCAATTAACATTTCAGCCACAACAAGTGAAGCTTGTTAAAACGACAATTTAATTGTTAACAAGACATGAGCACAGCAGTCATTCAGTTGGACCTCTCTTTATTTATTGTTGAGTGCTCCACATGTGGCTTGGGAAGTTTTGTTGGTTTTCCTCTTTGCTTTTGTACGGACATGGGTGTTTAATTGCTCAATTAAGCAGAAGTGCGGTCTAGAGATGCTGTGTCTCGGGGGCTTTTTGAGAATCACAGGTGTAATCCTCAAAGAATAGAGCGTGTCGGTAGGCAGACAATAAAAAATCGTAGCAGAGAAGATTACAAAAAAAAGTGTAACAAAGCTGGCGCTAACATTGTCCAGAGAGATAGACGTCCCATGTAATTGTTAAATCACTTAAATGACAAGAAAAGTAGAGCGGCATAAGCTTTAACTTTTTTCATAAAAAAATAAAAATGTATCTATACTATAAATTGTATACTTTTCTGGTAAACTAATCAATAAATCACTTGAGACGAAATTTAGAACGTCTAGAGTAGCGTTTTAAACGCAAATCAAACAAACTCAGACGCCAAAACGAAAGACTTAAGCAACGAACGCAGACAAAACAAAAGCAACAAAATGTGTATTAATAAGCAGCACAGGAAAACAACAAAAACAAAACGAAGGCAAAAGAGCAGCAAAGAAAAAAACAACAAAAAAAGCAAAAAATTAAATAAAAGAAGCAGCAGCAGCAACAGGCAGCGACTGCGCAGCCGGCTGAGGCAGGGGCAGTGGCAGCGAAGAAAAACGATGAAAAAATGTACAAGTAAAACCGAATTGTTTCCCACGGCATACGATTTTGCCGGTCAACATTGACGGCCGAAAGGGGAGGGAGCGAGAGGGAGGACCGCCATAGCGACTGCGAGAGCGAGAGAGCACCAGCAAAGGTGTAAGCGAATGGACGCCAGGTGAAGAAGAGCAGTGCATGCAGCCATATTGAAAGATCGCCGAGAGAGTCAGCCAGCCAGCCCCGAGCTATAACAGTTTGGCCCAGAGAGGAGGCCACGCGAGAGAGAGCCAGTTGGTGGTTGTCAGCTGGAAAAGAGCAAAACGTGACTTAAAAGTGAATTGGAGCCGAGCTTCGGCCTCTTCAAGTGTGTGTGTGTGTGAGTGTGGGGCTTACAAAAAGTGCAGCTGCTCTGAGGAGAGCTGGAGAGAGAAGCTCTCTTTAAGCAAAAACTTGTTTTCAACGGCGCTTTGAAGAAGAGCATAAATATGCGCAAATAAAAAAAAACGAAGCTGGCAAAAAAAAAGAATTAATAGACAATCAAGAAAACGATGCTGCGTCTGAATTAATAAAAGAAATGAAAAGAGAGAGAGAACAGGGCAAAAAACGTTAGAAAAACCATTGAGCGGAAGGACGGATGGCTGGGTGGGGTGGACGAGGGAGGGGGCGTGGCTAATGGAAAGCCAAACTAAAAAAAAAACTAAAACTGTTTTGATATTCCACAAAGAGACAAACAAAAAGCGCACACAAACAAAGGTGCAGCAGTTGTCAAAATATGTACACAAAAAAAAAAAAAAAACAAAAATCAATTTGCATAACACACACACACTAGCAATGGTGGGAAGAAACAAAACAAAAGTGCAATCGTTAAAACCACAATAGTTTTGTCCAGCATTTGACACCAATTTTGACACCAGCATTTGACCAGAAACTAAACAGTTTCTCACACTTTTCAAGACCCTCCCTATATGATTAAAATTTGGTCATGGATATCATAGTAACTCAAACCTAAACTTCGTAAAATAGGACATTTATAGTAGTAGAAGTATTATTTAATTAAAACGGTCTCTTATTTATTAAGTTATTTTATCTTGGAATTCTGTTACACCTTGCACAATTCTAGGCCTCATAACTTGGCCATGTTGTGTATAGTGTACACTTGTTCTTTTTCCGTTTTTTTTTATTATTTGCCTTTGCCTTCAACTATGAACTCCATTACGCTTGAAGACCCTTCCTTCCAGTACCAGTACCAGGGGGTTCTCCAGGTGGAACTTGAAAGCCAGCAAATGCCAGCTAGTAGCGAATGTTATATGGCGAGCTCTCAGGTGGGAGACAGACACTTGTTAAAGTGTTAGAAAATAGTGCGTTGCATTGTTTACCTTTAGCTCGAGTCGCTCTTTTTTTAGCCGTTCTTTGTCTCTGTTTCTTTCCCTGTTTCTTGGCCAGGTACTCCTATTTTTACAGCGATCACTCAAGCTTGAAGCCGCTACACCGAGAAAACATTAACTAAGTTTCAACTTTTTTGGTATTTGGTTTAGAACTTGGCTAAAATATTAAAAGATACTCTTTGGAAGATATTAAAGATTAAAACATAGCCTATATTAGTATTACTTTTAATAATTATAATTGAATATTAAATATTTTTTCTCTGTCTTTAGTTAGATCTTGGTATTTCCCCTCTATTTTTTGCCATTTCCACGTCAACTTGACTGAATGACTGACAGGCGGAGGTCTAAGACTACAAAAAAATACAAAGAGACATAAAAATGTATGAAGGCACGCATTTTCATTATAATTTTCCTCGACTTTTCCTACAGGTGTTTGTTTTCATGCCCTTTTTTCCCTGCTACTGGGACTGGGCGACTGGGATGTTGTTTATTAATCATTTAAATTCATCATCATAATCATAATCAACCGTTAACAACGGGCTTGGGAAACAGTTACAAGCGCAAGTGAATCATCGCATTAGTGGATGTATTTCAGTAGTCAGTGTCTGTGTGGGAGATTCTAAATTGCAATTAATTATGCTATACGGAGCAGGAGAATCGGAAAGAGAACACGAAGAGCTCCCCTCAAGTCGGTACGGTTTGGTTCATTCATTCATATCCATATTCCTTGGGTGGGTGCCCAATGTTAATATGAAAATTGCTTACAGGAGGGGACAACACAAGACAGACATGGAGACTACGGTTATTGGATAGTTAAATTGAAAATTAAATTGTGAGAAATTATTCATAAGAATAAAGAGAAAATTGAATAATATTGCCTAGCTAATGGCCGGCAATTAACCTGTGATATTATTTTAAATGGCAAATTAAACTAAATGTGGCCATTTTCTGGCCACAGAGTTGTGAGTCAGAGTTGAGGGAGCCAACCAGGGCAGATGTTACTCTATGAGAAGTTTCAGCTGGTCGCCGTTTCAAGACCCCAGGAGGTTGCCATCGATACACTTTTTTGGAACGTTGTTAAAATTAGCGACTAAATAAGAGTCTGGCATATAAAAAAAAAGGCCATTGCGTGCTCGAGTCAAGAGTCAGAAACGAGGGAGACAAAAACCAGAGGCCAGAGACAGAGCACATGCAATGTGCACAGAAAATATAGAGGCTTTAATCTTGGTTGTCTAATTAGAGGAAGTTAAATATTTAATATTCTTCAAATAAAGAATTTTTTGTTAAAGATTTCTAGATTCTTTAAATATTTTTTAGGGCATTATCGTTTAAAATTTAGCTATTTTTCTCCACGTGTAGCCAGGGGATGCTGGCGTTAAAGATCAATGAAAGCATGGCACAAAGAAACGACAAAAGCAGGGAGTAGCAGTGGAGCAAGTGAAGCTGCGCATGTGTCGCCGTTGACCTACGCAGAGTAAAGTAAGCCCAAAAAAAAAACACTATATACATATATAAAAAAAATCGCATGTAAAAAGCGCATGCAAAAAAAACCAGGGAGCTGCGGGGAGATGACAGCGACAACGGCAGATGTTGCCCAGCATCATCGTCAGCTTTAGCATCGGGTTGTATCAACCATAAGCATACTTGAGACGGCATACGCCGTTGGAGGTAAATTTTTATGTTGGGCCAGACTTTGATTATCTTTTTTTGGCCACAGACTTTAAAAAAAAAGTGCATCTCAAGAGGGAGACGTCAATTTAAAAACAATAAAAAGAACTTGCTCAGCGAAAAAAATTAATTAACTTTAAGATGTTTTAATGATAATTTCAATTTCATGAAAAACTCCGCCATGTGTGTAATATTTTTTCGGGGATGGACCTGTTTTCCATTCGCTATGCCTGTTTAAAAACTAGTTTTTTTTCTAAACACGTATTCGAAAAGGGTGATCACAGTTTCCACCCTTAGCTGGCTTGAAATTATGACGGTTGGCTCAGCTGTTTCTCCCTCGGAAAGTTCTCATATTACTAGCATTTGGGAGGGAAAAATGCGCATTTTCGACGCGATTTTGAATGGATTTCCTCGATAATGATCAAAACCCCCATCAAAACCACCCACATTTCTAGCCAAATTCTCAAAATAAACTGATGGTCTGGCAACGCTAGGAAGCGCCGTTTCCTTTGCACTAACACGGACACGCACGCATGCGCAGCTCGCACACAGCGACAGCTGCAAGCTCACCACCGCTCACCGGCGCATGGTAAGAAAAGTGCCAAAAATACAATCTTCAGGGGGGACGGAGGCACTTTGGCTCTCAAGACACTCACCTGCACGATGACTGTGAAGCAAATGAATGCTGTTAATAAACATTTAATCCAATGCATGTTTATTGATTTCTGGAGGTGGATGAAGTTGGGAATTTAGATGAGTGTCGCTTGTAAGTGTAGTAATCCACGTGTGTGTGTGTGTGTGGGTGTGCAGCAACTACTCAAATTGTTTATTGTATTTTATTTTTGGTAACTTGCTGGCCGCGATTATTTTTTGTCGCACATGGTTTGGCTACTCGCTTTTCGCATCTTGAGCTTTTTGTTGTGTTTTCTTTCTATTTCTTTTTTGTATTTTTTTTTTTGCAAGCTACACGTGCACGCGCCACATTTCGGTGTTTATTTTTAAGTACGCGGATCTTAAAACTTTATTTTATTTTATTTCGTGTTACTGTGCCCCGTCTCGCGCCAAGAAGCCAATGGACAAGAACTAACGGTTGGCGTTTCTCGATTTCAAAACACTGTGATCTTGGATGATGTATTCCTTGGTTCTAGCACTATTCCATTTATTTTCAAAAACTGCCAAAAATTCGATTCGTGGAAATCGGTGATTTGTGTTTGGCAGTTCACTGGCACTATATGTTGTATTTATTGACTTGTGTGTTTTTCCGCACTCCGACGACGGTACCCGGCTAGCCGCTTTTCCGACGACAGCAAAGGCTATTTTTCGAAAAGGCCAGAAACACAACCGAGCAGATCAAAAGCGGAATTCGAAATGAGCGGCACCTCCGGACGCGGATGAAGTATCGCAGTATCGAGTTATATCGTCTAGCACAGCACCAGAGAGAGTGGTTCAACAGCTGATTGCTGAGAGGGGAGAGAGAGCCTTGTGGCACGGCAAAAAATATTCAAAATTAATAATAGAATACTTATATGGTGTACCACAAAGAATTAAATGTTTTAACTTATGTTTCAAATATTGTATATTATATTAAAAATCATAACGTAAGAAACTTAAGAAGAAAGAAATCTTAAGAAATCCCTTAGCTAAGAAAATAGTAAAGATATAAAGTACATCCTGAACAAATATGGAAATTATTATGAAAATTGGAGTATTTGAGGTAGAATAACTTAGTAATTAAAATTTCCCTAGACCTCAGACATTTTTTATCTAATTGCATACACATTTTTTAATTAAGTTTCCTTCCTGAGGTATACTTTTATATATTCCCAAGTTAGAAACGGCTTGCCTTTAATGTATTATAATACATAGTATCATATCTGTATTATGATTCTAAAAATGTTTTTTTAAGTGTACTTCTTGTAAACGCTCGGTTTTCGTTCGATTCTCGTCGTTTTTCGCTCTCTCGCAAGGCGTCTCGCTCTCTTGCGGCTCTTTAGACATGTTTCGCGGCAAAAATTAGTACATTTCTGTTTGCAACAAAAGGACAGATGTGGAAATGTTGTAGAAACATTGTTGCAATAACATGTTGCCAACGTAAAATATGGTTGCAAATAAATGTTTTTAATTTCCTAGTTTCCAGATTCTAGTCTCGAATTTCAAACAATTTTTGTAAGCTATTCGCTTTAAAAAAATTGTATAATCAAATAGGGGTTGAAGTCGTATAGCAAGTAGCAAAATAGCACCTCAAAGTTCCTGCCCGTGGGGACTTCCTACCGTTTTTTATGATCCTGAATTTGCATATGAAAAGGATTAAATTTATTGTTTTTGTTTTTTTTTTTTTGTAGCGCGAGATATGCTCTGGCATTTTCAAAGTGAGTAGAATTCTTTTATTGTGAAAAAGGCACAGAAGCTAGTTATAACCTAACATTCTAAAGATTCATGGAGATAGTATTTGATTCAAGAATGTACATCCCTTTAGCTTTTCAATAAATGTTACCCCATTGGTGGTCTTTGCCTTCTACCTTCTTTTTAAATAATTCTTAAGCCAATCACTATCGAAGAAAAAGATTAATTTAACTCCGTTTCTTTGGTCAAACATTGTAAATCACTTGGCAACGGGAGTCCCATCGCAGGGCCCTGATAAATGGACCGAAAGTGCAAAAGGGCTGAGAACCAGAACTCTCCCGGCGCGAAATAAAGTTGTTGAAATTTGTACAATAAAAATCGGTCTTCATTAATTTGCATCGAACCGAGGGACATTTACATATTCATGAGGGCAGGAGGAGTTCGAAAACGCCAGAAAACGAAACCAATCAAGTCAACACCCAATTTTACAAGAAAATTCGTATCCAGAGTTAAAATTTCTCCCATTGAACTTTCAAGTGTCCGCCACCGATCCTTTGGGAATACAGTAAAACATGGCTAACAAAGACGCAGATAATGATGGTTATTTGATTATATTTTTAGTTAATATTTAATAAAATAAGACACCTATATGACTGTTAAATTTTAACAATAAAGTAGTACGGTTTATGGATGTTCAACTGCAATGCAATATTTAAACAAAAAATATATTTCTCGCCATAAATTTGACAGTAAAATACTCGCACCGGGAGCTTAGAGCCGGAGAAGAGTGAAAAGTTTTTAAATTAAACACAAATTTATGATCAAACAACGGCAACGGCGAAATAATAAAAAGGAGCCAGCCGAGGAGAAAAACCTGCAGGCTGTGGGGCAAAGACGAACGGCAGCCTCTCGCTGATCGCTGTGGCTCCCCCATACCATGCTGGCTCTACCATACTGAGAGCCAAGTTAGCACCTGTAAACCGGTTTCGGGTTCGCTGGCTCCCAAGGCAGGTAACCGAGAGCTGACTGGAGCTGGGTGCTCCATCGCCGAAAAACAGATGTCCTGCTGCTCCAAATTGAAAGCGCAACATACATCATCCATCCTTGTGTCGGGATCCATACCCCAAAAGTCCATGCCCCCTTCCCCATGCCCCTGCCTGCCTTTTGCGTCGAAGGGCGCCGTGCAGTTTGAATAATAAGGCAGCCGCAACAAAGAAATTGGGGTCATGTACTTGGCCAGCTCCACCAGACAGGCAACATCTTTCACTTTGCAGCCTCCTCGGCCGTTTATGCATATTTTTTTGCGTTTTCTTCTTTTTTTTTTGTTGGGGACTGAAACATCCAATATAACATTTTTTTACTGACTAGCCTCTGGAGGCGCGTGGCCTGTGACAACCCATTCGGCAAGTTACGATCTGGAGGCGGGACATGGTCTTAATATCGGAGTGGAGTGAATCGTGTGTCGCTCATGAACTGTTTATAGTTCAGATGGATGATGCAACGATCAATTGCAACCTGTTGCCGATAATGCTTCTGCTCGTGTGGCATGTGTCTCCCCAATGCTAAACTTGTTTGCCGGACAAGTAATCTACGTAGGTAGTTAAAAACTTTTTAATTAAATGAAAGTGCAATAAAATAAATATCATTTAAAAATGATAAACAATAAATATCCTTGCTTCTGGAAAACAGTTTTTCTCGTGCAGGTACAGCTTTAAGAAATTTCCCAGCCGAATTTTCCCACACAGGATGCAAATGTAACAGAACCGAATCGGAAACCTTGAGTCGATATTTTCATGCAAAACAAAAACGGGAAAACTGGGAAACTGGAAAACGGAAAACTAAAAATCCCCAAACCAGAAACAAGCATTCCTGCATCTCCTGAGGATAAAAACGAAGGACGAATCTGAAGACATGTGCGCTTCCCACACAGGACTCTCGGCAGCAGGTACATGCTAGTGTATCTCGCCTAGAGAATCCTGCGGAAAGGAAAGGAAACTTCTTCCCAGGCAGCTCAAAGGGCAGCTGCTTTCCAATCTTTTACGAGATTTCTCAAATTTTTAGTGCCGAGACTGTATTTTATGTTTTTACTGTTGCAGGTTCATCTGGTGGAGGTGTCGCCTCCACTCGAAGATGCGAACTCACTTCCGTGTGAATATTTTGCGCAGGGATTTCGCACAACAAGAGCATCTGGCTAGTTAATCCTTTGCCAGTTGTTAGACGCAGAAATCCTCGACTTTTGCTTAATTGGAAGCAGCAACAGATTGGCTGGAGCAGCGGGAGAAACCGCAGCAGTTGCTATCTCTTTGTTATTGAATTCAAGAAATTTATCAGAAATCTTGCTTCGGCCTGAGAACGGAAACGCTGCCAAATGGGATCCTTTGCGGCAGCACCCTAGTTTTCACAGGAGGGTCAAAATCAAATCAAGGTATCGCCGAATGCGAGGGTGGATCAGGTGCATTGCATAATCTTCGCCATTGTCTACCTCTTCGCGTATCTCTGCTGTGTGGGAATATCTTCCAGTTTTTGGGGTAGAGAGAGACTCGTAGAACGGGGGATCCTTATGCAAACGGAAGTGGCTTAGCGTGGGATGTCCTGGAAACAAACAATGCGAAGAAACCAGTGATATTTATCTAATTCCGGGTGCCCTTCGAGCATCTTATCATGTTTTAATAAAATCTTATTTATAATATGATCTTTAGTATCTTTTCATTTGCTTATTAATGCCTCGGAAGTTTGAGTTTCATCCGTTAACAAGGGCCTATTATATTCCCATTGACCCTGACCTAACAAAAAGTAGGAAGCTTTGCAGCTTTGGTTCCTGGAATCGGGTCAGGATCTCATCTCCCACACGCGCTCCAATTCGTAGAATTTGTGCCGCATGTCCTTGCCCATCAGCTGGACCAGTGGCAGCAAAACATCCTGTTATGGAACTGCCGGCCAACTCGTTTTCCATTCATGACGATCGCCAAGATCGCCATCAGCATTCAAGGCGAATGCGTAAAAGTTTCGCGTAAACAGAAACCGGAAACGAGAAACTTCCAACTTGAGCAATTCGTGGGAATTTCGTGGGTCACTTCCTTCCGAGTGCGGGCGTTCTCAGACCCGGGTCCCGACTCGACTCCTTTCCCAGTCCTTTCTATGAGCGCGAATCAAATTACGCGTGGCTGCGAATCGAATCAGTCTGCCGTTGAGTGGAGTCCTCTCGCCGAAGATCCTCACAAGCCCATCCTTCCATCATCCACATGCTGTCTCTGGCTTTGGCTCTGTCTCTGGCTGTTTGTTGTTTTGCACCTTGAGCCTTGACTACTTCCGGTTTGATGCGCGAAGGACGACGACTACACACAGCAGGTACACATAGTTGTTGTTCTGATGCCGGTTAGTGCATCCCCGCCGCCGCTTCTGGACATTTCCTGCGGGCCACTGGGCATGCAAATAAGGATGTCGCCATCGCAGGCAGCAGGACATGCGTTTTCAGGGCAAATACATGCCAGCCAGCATCAAGTGGTTGGCTTGAGAGCAGCGGGCCGGATGTTGTCGCCATCGATTGATTCAGAAACAGCGAACTTTAAGTGTCCAAGGATATTTTTCAGGAACAGATTTTGTGCTTAGTTTATATTAAAAGGATTTTGTTTTAGGCTAGTTTTAGACTCACTTCTTCCCCTTCTCCTCAGTCTCTCCATTTATTTGCTTAGTAATTTAAAAAAAACCTGCTCCTTTGTTGTTTTTTCGGTTAATTGACAAAAGGAGCAGTTACCATAACAAGCTAAAATTTTCATTGCCATGGCCAGGACCGGGAAGGACTGTGTAAACAACATTAGCAAAACGGCAATTTGCTGATATGACCACCAAACAAATGTCTAGACAGGGCAGGACTAAAGCCTGGGTGCTCGGATACACCTGCTCAGGTAGCTGAATTAATCAACAAATCCATGCAGAGTGGGAGGAACTATAGCGTTGGTGGGAGTTACCAAATTCAACGCCCAAGGAATCCGAACGGCAAAAATAATTATCTGAAACCCGAAATGATTGCGCAAAAA